AGACTTAGAGGATAGAATCTAGTTTTAAAGTCAAGGGCCAAAGAGATGGCAAGAAATCAGTTCCAAAGACACCATGTGCTGTGCTGAAGAAAAAGAACAGATTCTACCTTCAGAAGAAGTTTTTCTATTCTTTAAAGCATGCCTGGCAATATCTAGGGTCAGCCACAGGCTAATATGTGAGAGGGGTGGGATTCATCCTTGGTGTTCCAGCATACCTGCCCCTCTTTACAGATAAATAACAGCTATCTGTCCCTCTTGGTAAGAATCCCCAAGGGCAGTATTTGCAAATATCTCCTTTGGGCTGAATAATTGAGATTCCTCTCACCTTTCTGCAACTCTTCTGTTGCAATTATATCCCCATAGAACTTTTCCATATTTTTCATTTCCTTCTTATATAGTTCCTTCCCCAGGAAGGCCCTGCCATGGTGAAAGACTTAGAGGATAGAATCTAGTTTTAAAGTCAAGGGCCAAAGAGATGGCAAGAAATCAGTTCCAAAGACACCATGTGCTGTGCTGAAGAAAAAGAACAGATTCTACCTTCAGAAGAAGTTTTTCTATTCTTTAAAGCATGCCTGGCAATATCTAGGGTCAGCCACAGGCTAATATGTGAGAGGGCTGGGATTCATCCTTGGTGTTCCAGCATACCTGCCCCTCTTTAGTTACTCCAAGCACCAAATTTCTCTTCTTTCTACTCACTCTCTCTCCTCTCCAAATCTTTCTTTCCTCAAATGTGGTTTTTTGCTTTGTTTTTGTTTTCTTTTGTTTATTATTATTGTTATTCTTTTGATTTGCTATAGGGCATGTGCACTCTCCAGAGAGAGAGGGAAAGTGAGAAAGCAGGCCGCCAGGTCTGGGACTTGTACTGTGGTCACCCATGAGGGAGTCAGTGCCTTAACCACCACTCTACCTGCTGACCCCCTTGAATGTAGTTTTGAAATTTTAGAACTAAAGCATGAAGACTGGATAGATTTCCTCTGTGGGCCAAGTTTCTTAGTTATGAACAAGGACCCTTCCTTGAACTTCTTACATTTGTTAACTGGGTCTATATCACTTAGCCACAAGGTCCCACCTGCCCATCTCCTCTGGAAGTGGCCTGGTTATAGTCATCACCCAAGGACTATTTTAGAGAAATGTGGTGTCCAGGTAATCAGAGGTCACTATGATGGAGAGCAGAAAGCTGAAGGACCCATCTCAGAAAACCCAGAAGGATGCTGTTGACTTTATAAGCAGAAACATTTGCACATTATCCTTTTTCATTGTGTTGCTTCCATCTGATAACCAAAAAAAACCCAAACAAACAAAACCACCTTTTTCTGAATTTTGTCAAAAGGTAAAAGTTTTTAACACTTGATTTTATTGAGAAAGCTTGGGTCTTACATGTATACAGAACCATAGAGGTGGAAGGGATAGTCTAAAGAAGAGACTTTCTTTTCTTTTCTTTTTTTTTTTTTAAGCTTACTTATTCATTCCTTCCATGAGCAAAAGAGACAGGGAAATCACCTGCAACAGGATCCTGACACCCCCGTGCACCCCCAACCTCAGTCAGCCCCAGGTCATGGGCAAATGTGTATCTCAGGAATATCTCCGGATTTGAATTGGGAACCATCCCATGTGGGATTGCTTTCACAGAGTGTCACAATTTGATGGCTGCACCACTGACTGGCCCCTAAAATAGAGATTTCCCACAGGTTCCCTGACAGATTTTCCTTTTTCCTCAGTACCTCGTGGGGTCACCATCAACAGAGTGTTAGGTTACCTTGCTGCATCCACTTAGCAAAGCGCCTCCTGCAATCTTGAGTGTAGGAGTTTGTTCTGTTGGTTTGGGGCGTTATTTTGAACAGTGCTTTATATTAGCAAGACTAGAGTTTCCAAAACTCTGGAAGTTGGAAGGCCTGTTTGATGGGCACTGACTAAAATAAACTGACATGGCAACAAATTATATTTGGCAAATAGAAATCGGAAAGCAAATATTCAGACTTCCTGGGCAGGGCATCATTCTGGCACTTGTCCTGAGTATGAATAATCAAGCATATGTCAGCTTCTGGAGGAGACAGACTTGTTTGCTCTCACTAGATGAAGCAAGACCACATTAGTTCTTCTAATTGATCACTGGATATAGATCAATATGTAGGTTGTCAAGGGGCCTTTTTATTTTTTTTAGATAGGGCCTTGCTATGTTCCTCAGGCTGGCTTTGAAGTTATAATTCTCTGTTTTAGCCTCACACGCAGCTGGTATTACAGGCATAGCCACAGTGCCTGGCTGTGGCTGCCTAATTCTTAAAGTATGTCTAGAGTTGTTTGGGTCTCTGTAGTACTCTGTGTGTGCGGCTGCCTAATTCTTAAAGTATGTCTAGAGTTCTTTGGGTCTCTGTAGTACTCTGTGTGTGTGTGTGTGTGTTGTGTACATGTGGGCATGCATACTTCCATCAAAATAGTGAAGAGATTTGATTCCTTTCTAGAAATAAAGCTCCCACTCTGGGGGGAGTAAATTTTTGGCAGAAAGTTACTACCACTAAGGCATGTTGATCCACCCTCAGTTAACATATACACATGGAAGGTAGGTGGCAATGCTGGGAAGGGTCCAGAATATAGATTTCCCAAGAAGAAGAGTGAAATTACAGTGTTTCCCTGCTTCTCAGGAACATTGACCCCTGACCCCTCTTCATTCCACAAGTCCCAGAAGAACAGATAATCAGAGGAAACACAACCAGGGCCAAATAGACAGCAAACATGTCAATGCTCTGAGGTTGATGCAAACGGGTATGTGGCTGTGTGGTTGGGAAAATGGAGGACAGGGAAAGCTGTAAGCAGACCCAGAGTATGAGGCAGTTCTACATTTGCAGAGCCGTTTTTCTGGCAAAGATTTTTGAGGGGCCCCAAAAGGGAATGGAAGTAAGGGGCTCAAGTTCCTACACTTGGAGGGCAGACCCTTCGCTGTGTGTTTTGTTTTAATGAAGCAGCCGGGAGGGAGGGTTGCTTATCTCCGGCTAATAGATGTGTATTTCAGCATGACAGGAAAGAGGAGGCTCGTTCGTAAACAGACCTGGCCCTCTGGGGCTTCCCACACTGGAGGGGGAAGCTGCTTACAAGAAGGTTATGAAGTGTATGCTCTGACTTTTCTTGAAAAGGCAGGGTTTTTCATTGGAGAGCCCAGATCACTTTTCCCTACCTAGAGCCATTTTTCGAGGGTTGCACTAAGGCCAGTTTTGCTGAAGAGAAGACAAACTCTAGGCCTTTTCTCTGTTAAATGCAAACCATGTGTGTGACCCAAGGTCTCCTCCCTCTCCAGAGCCCTGCACATTTGGCACAGAGAGTAGGTTTAGCTAACATGCAGTGGGGTGTGTAATGAAAAGCGGGATGCTGAATGTGTTAGGAGATACTCACGCTGCACTCCACAGTGAACCTCAGTGTGGAAGGGGGTGTCCACTGGCAGCCACAGTCCCCATGTGCCAATAGGTAAACCCTTTCCTGAAAGGTTTTTCCCATAGCAGCCTTCCCGTCCCATGTCTTTGGTCATGTGCTTGGCACACAGGGCTCTCTGCTGTAACTAGAGCAAAATCTACACTTCACGACTGCTTTTTTTTTTCTTTTCTTCTCCTTTTTCTTTCCTTTTCTTTTTTTAATTGATAGAGGGTACCTGTGCTCACCAGAGAGGAGAGAGAGAGAGAAAAAAAGCACCCTCCATGGGTAGTGGTGTGTGGTCACTCCACAATCTCTCCTGAATTCTTCCATCCTATTGGGATTTGGGGCATGCACGCACACATGCCCGGAATGTATTTAAAGCCTCCAGGGCTATGACTTGAACCATGGTTGACCCTGTGTGATCCGGCTCCCTTAATCACTAGGGTATAGGTGGCTATCTTTCCTTTCTTTCTTTCTTTCTTTCTTTCTTTCTTTCTTTCTTTCTTTCTTTCTTTCTTTCTT